TTGACCCCAACCCAACGCTTTGACCCCAACCCATTTCACTGATCCCAACCCATTTCATTGACCCCAACCCACTGCATTGACCCCAACCCGTTGTGTCGCCCCCCTCCCCCCCCCGTGGCCCCCACCCCCCCAAAGCTCTTCAGCAGCCCCGACCCACCGCCGCCCCCCGCCCCGCACCCCGCTGACCTCTCCCCCCACAGCCCGGCATGGCGGCGTGGCGGGCGGCGCTGGCGGCCGCGTTGCTGCTGGCGGAGCCCTGCGCCCCGGAGCCGCCGTCGGAAGCCAACGGCACGTGCCAGGGCTCCAACCGCTGCCAGCCCGGCGTGCTGCTGCCCGTCTGGCAGCCCGACGACCCGTCCTTGGGCGACAAAGCGGCGCGCGCCGTCGTCTACTTCGTGGCCATGATGTACATGTTCCTGGGCGTCTCCATCATCGCCGACCGCTTCATGGCCTCCATCGAGGTCATCACCTCCAAGGAGAAGGAGATCACCATCACCAAGGCCAACGGCGAGACCAGCATCGGCACGGTGCGCATCTGGAACGAGACGGTGTCCAACCTGACGCTGATGGCGCTGGGCTCGTCGGCGCCGGAGATCCTGCTGTCGGTGATCGAGGTGTGCGGCCACAACTTCCAGGCGGGGGAGCTGGGCCCCGGCACCATCGTGGGCAGCGCCGCCTTCAACATGTTCGTGGTCATCGCCGTCTGCGTCTACGTCATCCCCAGCGGGGAGAGCCGCCGCATCAAGCACCTGCGCGTCTTCTTCGTCACGGCGGCGTGGAGCATCTTCGCCTACATCTGGCTCTACCTCATCCTGGCCGTCATCTCCCCCGGCGTGGTGCAGGTGTGGGAGGCGCTGCTCACCCTCGTCTTCTTCCCGGTCTGCGTGGTCTTCGCCTGGGCCGCCGACAAGCGGCTGCTCTTCTACAAGTACGTCTACAAGCGCTACCGCGCCGACCCGCGCAGCGGCATCATCATCGGCACCGAGGCCGAGCTGCCCAAGGGCATCGAGATGGACGGCGGCTTCCAGCCCCCCGAGCGCCGCGAGGCCGAAGGCTGCGCCGCCTCCGCGTCGCCCGCCCTCCCCGCCGGCGCCGAGGAGAAGGAGCTGGACGAGAGCCGGCGGGAGGTGATCCAGATCCTGAAGGAGCTGAAGCAGAAGCACCCGGAGCGCGAGCTGGAGCAGCTGGTGGACGCGGCCAACTACTACGCGCTGCTGCACCAGCAGAAGAGCCGCGCCTTCTACCGCATCCAGGCCACCAGGATGATGACGGGCGCCGGCAACGTCCTCAAGAAGCACGTGGCCGAGTTCTCCAAGCGCTCCTCGGCGCTGCTGGAGGTGCCGTCGGACGCCGAGGAGGAGGCGTGCAGCCGCATCTTCTTCGAGCCCTGCCTCTACCACTGCCTGGAGAACTGCGGCGCCGTCACGCTGTCGGTGGCCTGCCGGCACGGCGCCGAGCCCGACCACACCTTCTACGTGGACTACAAGACGGAGGACGGCTCGGCCAAGGCGGGCTCGGACTACGAGTACAGCGAGGGGACGCTGATCTTCAAGCCGGGGGAGACGCAGAAGGAGCTGAAGATCGGCATCATCGACGACGACATCTTCGAGGAGGACGAGCACTTCTTCGTGCGGCTGCTCAACCTGCGCGTGGGCGACGCCGAGGGCATGTTCGAGGCCGACTCGGCCGAGCACCCCAAGGGCCGCCTGGTGGCGCCGCTGCTGGCCACCGTCACCATCCTGGACGACGACCACGCCGGCATCTTCTCCTTCCAGGAGCGCGTGGTGCACGTCAGCGAGTGCCAGGGCGCCGTCGAGGTGACGGTGGTGCGCAGCTCCGGCGCCCGCGGGACCGTGATGCTGCCCTTCCGCACCGTGGAGGGAACCGCCAGGGGGGGGGG